ATTTATGAAAAAAAGAAGCAAAAAACAATATTGTTGTAGGAGGAGGGCACAAGAGCTCAGCGCGTGATACTGACTGGAAGCAACACAGCTGCTGTTGACAAAGCAGCAGAGTCAGATATGAATGCGTATTAAATTCATCGTGTAAATATACCAGATTTATCCACATACGCTAGTTTTCATCATATCTTCATGATCTCCAGTAATGTTACACCACAGTGCTTTCATTTGAACCCCAAGTGTCACCGTCTTTGAAAAATTACAGAGTATAATGCAACTATTTTGCAAAAATAAATAATTACATAAAGACTTTCAAAAGGGTACCCTGTTTTTCCCTTCGTACGATATCGTACAAATAGAGATAATATAATTATCTGAGGAACAATTGTCAATAAGCAGAGAAGTTATTAAAATATTAATGCAAGACATGGAAGCAGGTGGTGTTGTTCCTAAATTAGGAACAATATTTTAAAATTACTTCACAATTCTTCTTGCACTTCATATTGTTACAAACTATCAGAATATAAAGAAAGTCAGAAAATGGACAACCTCAGCTTATAAAACTGCTATTTTTTTTAACCACAAACCACTGGATCAATTTCAAGTGTTTTGCACTTGATTTTTATTTTATCATAAAACACTGCAGAGATGCAAAGAAATAATCATTATAACAGTGTGCAAATACTCCACGTTATACTGTGTTCCAAGCTATAGACATCTCTGAAGCGACACCCTGTCATCCATTCATCCAAGAGATGTAACAGAGACACTGCCTCTATTAGATAATTATTTTTCAAAAATAATCTTTAACATCAGATTAATTTCAGATTTTTAATGTCAGATTTTACACGGTCAGGTGTAGCCGAGTTTAACTCAGAAACTAAACTTTAACTCAAAATTTCCATAAATAAATGTCAAACGAGCCATCATGATAAAGGGAATGTGTGCAGTTTTGGTGCTCCGTAAGTTCTGTGCTGAACAGCGTGGCTGACTCTTTGTATCTACTATTGCTTCACAGTCCGAGTCCAAACAGGTAATGAGCCATTGCAAGCTGACCAATTATGGAGTCCACCGCCAGCTCACGCTTTTTTGAGGTTATGTCAAAAGGTTTCTTGTTTAGGCAGTCTGTGTCAATGGGCTCAGTCAGTAGTCACGTTGTCTTATTACAATGAACACATGCAGTGTAGTTTATTTTGAGTTAATCCAGCCTTCTACCTGCAAGAAATCTTTAGTGCAGTATGTAATCTGCTTCTGAAAATGGCTCCCAGCAAGAAGAATTTCTTCTTTCAGCTCTAATCCGTGAAAAAAAAAGACAAAAAATACTTGGTTGGTCTGTTCATTGTCACCGCTCGTGTCAGGTGTACATGATTGGAGGATTTGGGGTTGGGTTCTCTGCTCATTCATCACTGCAGATTTTAGTTAGATTTGTTTGTCCGTGGGAACTGTGGGAACCTTAAATTACATTTTGGATGTAAACAAAAAGAAGAGCGTGAAGGGGTGTGAAGAAAAACAGATTTTAAACTTTGTTTCTTTAACTGGACTCTGGTGCCATCCTGTGGCTGCTATGAACAAAAGTGAAGTAATGAAAATAAAAAGTTCCTCGACTTAATCATCTCGAGCCCTTTTCAAAATGATCAAACATTAAATTATTTTCAGGATTTTAAACAGTTGAATTATTAATTATTTGTTTTTAAAAACTCACAAAAACCCAGATATTTTCCATGTAATATATAGTATCGAGAGAGTATGGATGACAAGTAAGAGTAAAAGACAAAAACTTACTAAAAAAAAAATTTATTGCCCAAATTGATCACCAATTTTATTTTTTTTAAGTTGAAAAAAAGTACAATAATGCCCAATTAGGGCATAAGAGTTAATCTTATTACAGTTCTACAGATCTCATATATTACAAGCGATTTCTCTGCAGGCCAGTATTATTGGCTGATATTAACCTTTTGCTGATATCAGTATCTTCATTTATAAAGGCTGATAATTTATTGAAAATAATAAGACATGGCAGAAACATCCTTCGACCATGTTTTGAGTATTGGTGTATTTACTTCTTCCTGCATCCCTGAAAAGGTTTCACCATCAGTCATCTTCTATGAGGAGACCTCAGACGCAGTCGTACGCTGAGCTTTCCTGTGAGAAAATCAACAAAAAATAACAGTATATGAGGACTGATCACATTTGAAAAGTCGAACTGAGCATGTGAGTCTGTGGAAGGTGATGTAAAACTCACTCGAATGCAACAATCTTGGCACGAACCCAGGGAGCTCTCCCATTGATGCAGAAAACACCGGACTCTGTCTGAAAGCTGCAGGAACGAGAAATGAACGATGAACTTGGTAGCAACACTTTAATCAGTTCATTTGAGATAATATTAACAATGAGTAAATGAACTTTAACTGAAGAGCACCAAAAACATCACATCTACATCTTTAGGCTAAAGTTATTTAGCCAGTATAAGTTGTGTTGAAGTTAAACAATTGATTTTAAATGTAAAAAAATAATAATCATATTTTTCAGTAATTAACAGTTTGTAATAAATCAATCCTGGGCTACAGTTGATGCTTTTAATGTGCCATAAAAAAATTACACGACTGCGTTGACACATGGACGCCTTGCTCTCTGGACCAAGTATCCCAAAATTGGTTCAGTGATCTCCTTATTGGTGACAGTTTTGCAGCATGTGGCCAGTTTTACGTCATTCTTTCCTGGAACAAAAAAAAGAAAAAAGAAAAAAAAGATTTTTAAACAGAGAAGAGCCGACAGAAAAACCTTACATGGTGTTTATATGAAGTTCAATCTTACCTTCTGATCCAGACATGGCCAAAACTACCAAGAC